ACACACACACACACACACACATTACATGCATGAAGGGAATCACAAGACATTGAGCTAATCCACATCTGTACCACGAAGGACAAACAAACTATAATGCAGCCTTAAAATACGTCGTGAATTTATAAATGAGGCCGAGGAAGTGCTGCAGATTTAGAACATGATTTAAATAATAAAGCAGAGGTAGATTATGGAAACACACACACACACACACACACACACACACACACACACACACCTTGGACTCTTCTCAGTTAAAGCTGAAATATTATTCATATATTTTCTGATGCGGATTCTTAAAACCTGCAGAACATTAATCTGGGAAAACAGAAGGGGGGGGGGGGGGGTGACTGACACTTCTCATTGGATACCATCAATATGACACACATGTCATGAGCCTGCCTGGTTTCGCCAGAGGCCAATGGGAGTTAGTGTCGATGCTGCTGGGGGGAGATGATGGGAGTCATTAGATGTTTTTCTTCTTGTTTCGTGAACTTCTCAAAAAAACACCAGGAAACGAAAGATGTATCAGCCTCAGCGTGGACAACAGGGAAATCTGGCAAACACGACACAGGAAGGAAATAAACCTCTCCCAGTGCTGCTGTAGCTCTGCTTCGCTTTCTGTCGAGAGCAGCTGAGCTGCTCAAAAATTCATCCGCGGCACACTCAAATCAGACTACGTGCACACACACACACACACACACACACACACACACACACACACAGCATCTTCGTTTCCACCATCGATGGAGAGGAACTCGACACTGAAGGAAGCAGAGCAATCAATCTGAGGGAGGACGGGAGAGGGAAGGAACTCAGGGAGACGCAGGGGAAGAGGAACATGGCTTTTGGCTTTCTTGTGACCAAAGCTATATATAGCGCTGCATAAGCATTAATAATTTAGCATAACCAAAGCCCTTAGAACAGGGCCCCTCGCCCGGCCCTTATCAAATCAATACCTAATTAACCCTAACAGGGGTCTGGGCTTATAGGACAGAGGAAGTGAGACAAGGAGGCAGGAGAGAGGTGGCGAGGATCAACGAGCCGAGTTCACTTTACACCTCAGACCCGCCACAGGTTGTGGTCATTACATTAAAAATCTCTGTGACTGACGCTGACGAGTGTTTTCGAACTCAAATGGAAACAGCAGTGTTTCCCAAAGTGTTCAGGTTCAGGTTCAGTGTGGTCGCCAGACGTAAACGTGGTAAAACTGATGTGTTATAAAACTGAAACGTATCAGTGTGGTCGCAGCGTTAGCTTAAAAGAATCTCGTCCATTGAGACGTAAACAAGAGCTTGAAGACATGAGTTCTTCAGGATGGAGCTGCAGGTTATAGAGATTATCAATAACATGCAGGTTATGGAGACTGTGCCACTGGTGCTGAAGCAGGCAGCTGATGCACTCTTCTCTCTTCACTTCCTGCCCGTGGACGTGCAGTAAACATTCCCAGTATGTTAAAACAAGGTGTCGATTTTCAACGGTTAATACATAAACATGTGAACTGAGGTTAAGCTAGCCCCGGGCTTTCTGCAGCCAATTTATTACACTAGCTAAAGGCTGTGAGACATTCACATGCATCTTTCTCAATAATCAGACTCATCAGGACGCTGCAGGCAGAACTTCTTCACACATGGACACGAGGAGTAGTTACCAACTCACAACACTCAGAGAAACCTCAAAGAACAAACTTCCAGTACCGACCGACGCGATGTCTCTTATCTCTATGATATGTGGACTCTGAATTAGCCCTGATAAGCTGCAGCCATTACTACGAGACGGAGAGGGACGCGTGGAGGAGACAGGTTTCGGAATGACGCGGGGACGCCACAAATCTGTTTTTTACACAGATTTTGGATTCCATTGATTACTTTTCTCTTAAAACTCTGGTCTTTACATACACAATACACCTGTCCATCACCTGTCCATCACCTGTCCATCACCT